TTTCGTTGGTGGTGATTGTGTGGGTGTTTCTGAGTGCTTTTTGTATTTCGAAGTGTTCTAGTATGGTGAGTTTATGGTAATTGTTGCATTTGTGTAATAATTTAGTGTTGTTAATGTTGATGTCGTGATTTGTATTTTGTATGTGTGTGCCTATAGCGGAGTGAGGTTTATTTTTCTTGTGTTCATTGAATCTGATTTGTATATTACGCGTGGTCATGCCAATGTATATGCGGTTGCATTGTGAACAATTTATTTGATATATGCCTGATTGTTGATGGTGTGGTTCTTGTGTCATTGTGTTTTTGAGTATTTTTTGTAACGTAGGGTGCGATCTTGTTGTGAGGTTTAAATTGTGTGACTTTAATGCGTTTTTTAGTTTGTAATGTATGTGTTGATGGTATTCTATTGATATATATTTATTGTTGGTTTTGTAATGTGGGTATATTGTATTGGTGATGTGTTTTTGTTTATTTTTATGATATATATTGTGTAGGTATGTATTGTGAAGAGTATTGGTTATTAATGCCTATTTGAAAGATTGTATTTAGTTCTGCATCGTATTGTTCTTTGTTGAGTGGTATAGTAAGCAGTCTATTAAACAGAAAATTAAAGGCTGCAGTTTTTATGTTATGTGAATGATATGAGTGTGCCGGTATTATTATGTCTGTGGTGGTGGGTTTGCGGAAAATGTTGAAAGTAATATTGTCTGTGTTGTTATGTATTGTGAGGTCTAGGAAGTTAATTTGATTGTTGTCTTCTGTTTCTATAGTAAATTTTATTTTTGATAGACTATTGATGTTATTGTAAAAATTGACTAGATTTTGTGGATCTCCGGTCCAGATACAAAGAATGTCGTCTACATAGCGGTTCCATAGGGCGACGTGATTGAATTCTAAAAGTTCGCTGATTTTCTTCTCTAGATTGTCGATGTATATATTGGCTAATAATCCGCTAATGGGGGAACCCATAGGGAGCCCGTCTGTCATTTTGTAATATTCGTTGTTAAATATAAAAAAGTCTAGATTTGTTGTATGTTTGAATAGTGTCAGTAGGTTGTCTATGTCTAATGGGTCGAGTTTGTAATTATGTCTGAAGTCGTCGTTGTTGTATAATATGTCACTCAGTAGGTGTAGTGTTTCTGTTTTAGGTATGTTAGTATAGAGGTTGACTATGTCGAAGGAAACTAAAGTGAACTGTGTGTGATGTAGGTCAAGTTTGTTTATATTGTTGATGAGTTCTAGGGAGTTTTTAATTGAAAACGGGGATTTGTATTTGAGTTTCTGGGTAATTATGTTGTTTAAGAATTTGGCTATGTAGTGTGTTGGTGAGTTTGTCGACGCTGTAATAGGCCGAATTGGTTTGGTGGGTTTGTGTAATTTTATAAGGCTATAGAGTTGTGGTGTTTTGGGATTTTTATTTTTTAATTTGTGGATTAGAAAAGTGGTGTTAGTGAATTTTTGTAGGGTGTCTATTGTATTGTTGAGAATCTTGTTTGTTGTGGTGTTGTATTTGTTGAAGGGGTTTCTTTTTAAGATAGTGATGTTATTTTCTGTAAAAAATTGTGTCGTTTTGTTAATGTAGTCGTTTTTGTTTATCAGTACTAGCCCAGCATTTTTATCTGCAGCGGTGACTATTATGTTCTGGGTATTAATTTTATTTTTTAATTTCTTTAGGGTCTGTTGTATCTTTTTGGATCTATAATTTGTATGGTTGTGTGATTTTTCATTTTTACTAACCTGATTGCGGTTGATGATTTCTCCTATTTCTTTTTTGATATAATGCATTGATGGATTATTATATAGTTGATATTCTATATCGATGGCCGTGAGATAAGGTGAGTATGTACTAGACTGAGGTGCGTATTTATGTCCTAAATTAAGTAGCTGTGTTTCTTCGTTATTAAGTTTTAACGTTGATAAATTCGTGAATCTTGGTGGGAAGCTGTGTGTTGTGGTTGAAGTATAGTTGTTTTCATTTTCTTGAGAGTGATGGCTTGTGGTTTTTGTGTAAGAAGCAGTGTGATGAGGGTGGTGTATAGTTGATTTCTTTGTGTTGACTGCGGTGGCTTGTGGTTCTTGAATCCTGTATGTCGTGTCTTGTAAACCTGTGTGTTGATCTGTTGGTGTTGTAATGTCCTTCTTTGATCGTTTACTAAGTGGGAGTATTTTTCTTTCTTGGTGTGTCGTCTTGGAGTTGTATGGTTGTTGCTGAGTTTGGTTTTTTATTTCGATGAGTTTGTTTAATTTCTTTAGTCTCTTTTGGTCTAATTCGTAGTTGCTGTTTGTAATTTCTTCTTCTAACTGTAGATATACTGTCTCATATTCAATGTAGTGTAGTTTTTGTAGTAACGTTCGGTGTAGGTATTTTAATTTGGAGTTGATCATGGTTTTGTTATAGTGTTGTTTTTTTATTTCATGTTGTAGAAGTTTCTTATGGATGCCTTTTGTTTCTTGTAGGGTGTATCGTTTCGGCAGGTTGATTCTTAAGAAATTGGGGGTGACTTCATGTTTTTTGGCGTTATACAGAAACTGTAGATGTTGGGTGTTTTTGTGTCGTTTTTGTAGAATATATTTTAGCTGCAGGAGTAATCCGGATGTCTCCAGTTTGTTGATATTTTTGATGTACGTCTCCATTTTTGATAAACGTTATGAATAGAGTAAAATATAATGAAGTTTAGTAACGTTTATATTATAATTTTTTCTCTATGGCTATCGATTTCGGCAAACATTGCCATCATCAGGCCTAGCTATAAATATATTCTGTATTATATAAACAACATAATCTTATACTTGTGCTTACCGTCAAGGTTTAAAAGGCAGCGTATTTATACATGTCATGAAGTGCGTTGCGTGTTACTGACGAAAGTGGAAATGGAATGACTCTATTGAATGATAAAACATTAGTAGAATTGAAACATCACAAACAACCAATATTATATAAATAAATAATTAAATTATCCAACTTACATAGAAGATAAACTAGTAGCAACGTTGTGTAAAGTGTGGTTATAAAGTGTTAAAGTGTGGTTATGTTGTTTGCAGTGGCGTGTATGTGTAGGTTATTGAATGGGGGTATTAAATTATATATGTGTGATGTGTTGAATTCTGTGATTTCGTTGGTGGTGATTGTGTGGGTGTTTCTGAGTGCTTTTTGTATTTCGAAGTGTTCTAGTATGGTGAGTTTATGGTAATTGTTGCATTTGTGTAATAATTTAGTGTTGTTAATGTTGATGTCGTGATTTGTATTTTGTATGTGTGTGCCTATAGCGGAGTGAGGTTTATTTTTCTTGTGTTCATTGAATCTGATTTGTATATTACGCGTGGTCATGCCAATGTATATGCGGTTGCATTGTGAACAATTTATTTGATATATGCCTGATTGTTGATGGTGTGGTTCTTGTGTCATTGTGTTTTTGAGTATTTTTTGTAACGTAGGGTGCGATCTTGTTGTGAGGTTTAAATTGTGTGACTTTAATGCGTTTTTTAGTTTGTAATGTATGTGTTGATGGTATTCTATTGATATATATTTATTGTTGGTTTTGTAATGTGGGTATATTGTATTGGTGATGTGTTTTTGTTTATTTTTATGATATATATTGTGTATGTATTGTGAAGAGTATTGGTTATTAATGCCTATTTGAAAGATTGTATTTAGTTCTGCATCGTATTGTTCTTTGTTGAGTGGTATAGTAAGCAGTCTATTAAACAGAAAATTAAAGGCTGCAGTTTTTATGTTATGTGAATGATATGAGTGTGCCGGTATTATTATGTCTGTGGTGGTGGGTTTGCGGAAAATGTTGAAAGTAATATTGTCTGTGTTGTTATGTATTGTGAGGTCTAGGAAGTTAATTTGGTTGTTGTCTTCTGTTTCTATAGTAAATTTTATTTTTGATAGGCTATTGATGTTATTGTAAAAATTGACTAGATTTTGTGGATCTCCCAATTCACTTTAGTTTCTTTCGACATAGTCAACCTCTATACTAACATACCTAAAACAGAAACACTACAACTACTAAGTGACATATTATACAACAACGACGACTTCAGACATAATTACAAACTCGACCCATTAGACATAGACAACCTACTGACACTATTTAAACATACAACAAATTTAGACTTTTTTATATTTAACAACGAATATTACAAAATGGCAGACGGACTCCCTATGGGTTCCCCCATTAGCGGATTATTAGCCAATATATACATCGACAATCTTGAGAAGAAAATCAGCGAACTTTCAGAGTTCACTCATGTAGCCCTATGGAACCGCTATGTAGACGACATACTTTGTATCTGGACAGGAGACCCACAAAATCTACTCAATTTTTACAATAACATCAATAACCTATCAAAAATAAAATTTACTATAGAAACAGAAGACAACAACAAAATTAATTTCCTAGACTTTACAATACATAACAACAAAGACAATATTACCTACAACATTTACCGCAAACCCACCACCACAGACATAATAATACCTGCACATTCATATCATTCACATAACATAAAATCTGCAGCCTTCAACTTTCTGTTTAATAGACTTCTTACTATACCACTCAACAAAGAACAATATGACACAGAACTAAATACCTACAATTTTTCAAATAGGCATTAATAACCAATACACTTCACAATACATACACAATACATATCAAAAAATTAAACAAAAACACATCACCAACACAATATACCCACATTTCAAAACCACCAATAAATATATATCAATAAAATACCATCAACACATACACAACAAACTAAAAAACGCATTAAAGTCACACAATTTAAACCTCACAACAAAATCGCACCCTACGTTACAAAAAATACTCAATAACACAATAACAAAAGAACCACACTATCTACAATCAGGCATTTATCAAATAAACTGTTCACAATGCAACCACATATACATCGGCATGACTACTCGCAATATACTTACCAGATTCAAAGAACACGAGAAAAATAAACCTCACTCCGCTATAGGCACACACATACAACATACAAACCACGACATCAACATTAACAACACTAAATTATTACACAATTGCAACCTTTACCATAAACTTACCATCTTAGAACACTTTGAAATACAAAAAGCACTTATGAACACCAACACAATCACCACCAACGAAATTATCGAATTCAACACATCCCACATTTATAATTTAATACCCCCATTCAATAACACACACATACACGCCACTGCTAAAAATATAACCACACTTTAACACATTATAACCACACTTTTTACACGTTTATACCAGTTTCTCATTTATGTAAGTTTCTTAAATTTAATTATTATTGGTTGTTTGTGATGTTTCAGTTTTACTAATGTTTATAATTCAATAGATTCATTTCAATTTCCACTTCCATCAATAACACGCACTTCATGCTATGTATAAATATGCTGCCTTTTAAATATTGACGGTAAGCACATTATAAGTTTTATCTTTTATATAACACAGGATATATTTATAGCTAGGCCTGATGATGGCAATGTTGCCGAAATCGATAGCCATAGGAAAATTATAATAAACGTTATTCAACTTCGAAGTTATATTTTACTCTAAAAGACATAAGTATTTAGAACTTTTTTGCTTTGTAACGAATTGCTATTAAAAACATTGATCCATAAAGGTACTTACTACAAACAGTAAAATATCTTCAAGAAAGCTTCTTTTAACCTAGTACTCGTTTTCAACACAGATTCGATTTGTTTGGAACGCGGGAATTGACCCACCTCAAAATGTGACAACACTTGCGCGGTCTTTTGAAATAGAATTGCACCGTGTGAAATACAATGCGTCAATGCTTATTGCATGCAATGATTTGACCTTGCAATTTCTTTCTGCAAGTTCTTGTGCGTTATATTGATCCATGTCAAGGGACCTTAAGCAGGTTAGCGTATTAGTACGACGCGATGCCTATACAAATGACAAAAATAATTCAACGAATTTTATTGATGAAAAGTTCAATTTTATTAGTTTCCAATTTTATGGATTGTTGTTGTGTATAAATGAAACCAATAAAGTTTTGATTTTCTGTTTTTGGCTGTCGATTTCGATTTGTTTATTAACCATCTTCAGGCCTATGTATAAATAACCACAAAATAGAAACACGTCAATTTCGGAATTCAACACCTCACAACATTAGTTCAATTTTAGGTAATCACGTTCAACACTCGGCCTCATCCATTCTAAAAAACATCACCGAATACCAACAAGAAAATATTATCTCCATAGCACTTATGTAACCTTTTTTTTTAAAAAAAACTATGAAGGCGGATATTAAGCAAACCGCAATCGATAGCAGAAAAACAAAACTATTAGTTTCATTTATACCCAACAACACTCCATACTTAAGCGAACATATAAAAATGATAAACAAACAAATTACACATAATATGAATTATTCCACTACCGTTGCCATCGAAAAAGGCACACAAAATAAATGCATACAAAAATATGACGTATTTGCCTTGGTTGAACAACAGGCACTGAAGGGGGTCTAAACAAACGTTGAAAATGCCTAAACAAAATATGTCAGCTCTAAATAAACGAAACCAAAGATTTTACTACACAATGATCTTTGACGAAACTATACACAGAGGTCAGAGGCGGTTGTTGCCACCTACCGAGACAACATTTTTATCACTTGTTAGATTTTAATTTATGTATCGTATACGTATTGATGTAATATATTTATTGTGGAGAATAATATTACTAATAGCTTATTTGAATAGAGCGCGGTCGGATCAGTATTAGTGCATGTAAGTGCAGCCATAGTGTAAGTTCTATTCTTACACTATGGTACAGCTTGCATACGAAGATACAAAAGAAGAGATCTCGTTTGAATTACAAGTAAGATGTAAGGTATCAAATAGTATTAGAATAGAATAATCTCAAAAGCACTAAAATATTAAATTTTTACCGGAACGCGTCTCTCAATATACCTTGAACGATTCAGTATGAAAGGCATTTTATCTATCACTTTATTGCATTGCAATAAAGTTGGGTCGATATCCATAACTTCGTGGCCTCTAGTTATTACGAACAGATGAATTTTATATTAGGTATAGTATTTTTCAAATGAATCTTCAATTTATTCACACTAGACTGTATAATAATTGTACTTTTGAAATCATCAATAAAGTCTTTTAATGGGAGCAAAACTTTTTCACTTAAATCCTTTTAAGCATCAGTACGAAGTCCATTAAAAATAGAGGTTGCTATAGAAAAGAATTGCTAAGAGTTCTTAAGAATGATTCCATTACGGAAATCGGTGACTCCTTCCATTCATTTCAATAGATTAAAATTCATATAAATTGATGGTTCACGGAAAACTGCAGGTACATGTGGGAAAAGAATTATGTTTGAAAGCACCACGTTTTTCAAATATCAAATTCTGGGGGACTCGAATAACACCACTCTGTAATTGCACTTTCTAAGCTGTTCGCTTAATTATGGAAACGTTAGTGAAATTACATGGAAATTATAAAAGAGCGACTAAAGCAGTCTTAAAGACCTGTTTTTGCTTTTCAATTGATTGTTGAGAGGCTTGGTCTTGAATATTACAATTTAAAATGGAAATTGTCTTAATCCAAAACCTTCCCTAACATTACAACGCTTTTAAAATTATAACAAGTAAATGGAATTAATCAACGCCACAAGACCATTCAAAAATTAATTAAAAGAAAACAAATTTGCATTCCCTAAGTCTCAGCCTTTCACCGATAAAATGTTCCTTAAACTTGCAAATTGGCCTAAAAACTGCTTTGTGAATAATTGCAGATGTTCCGTTTAAATTACTATTTAGAAAGCAATATTATACACCGCATACACATATATACCTACGCGCATATTATTTACTGTGGTTTCCATTTCGCACATTGCTTGTATTAGTGTATGTATTCTTAGACAGTACCTCTTTTCACGGAAGATATTAACGTGGAATCGGATAAAAGCATGTTTCTATTTAGTTATGTGCCTTTTTGCACACAGAAATGAAGTTGTGTGGTTCCGTTACTTCGTTATTTAATTTCTAGAATGGAGACCAAGTCAATGGTTGTCCGCCATATGTTAGAGATACACGTTTGCAATAGAGCCACAAATTTAAATATGTGCGAGGGCGGTGAACAACCTAAGCGTTGAAATTTGCATCTCATGGAATACACCAGAGGCACATTGTCCTGTTGTTTGAGTGCTTTCTAAAGGCAGTATGACACTTTACATTTTCTTATAATGTCAAAAAAACGATAAAATTTCAACGAAAATATGCACAATCATTTCTAAAAGGAAAAACAAATACTGAAATACAAATTCAAACAAATCGATCACACTTAGTCTTTATTCGTAAAGAACCCACCAGATTTACTTTAAAAATTGAAATATTTCACATACAGGGTGACCCAACCTTACTGAAAGTGTTGAAACCAAAATAACGTCTGCCTAGTTTACAGAACAATCCATTCACACTGAATCTTCTTGGGTAAAAATGTGAGTACCTCTCCTGAAGCCAGTACTTATTATACCTCCCATTTAGCGTATGATTCCCATAACCGGATTCGTTTGACCAAAGGATTCTTCTGTGAAACAACACTAAATAAAATAAAAATATGTATAACAAATGAAATTAAACCTAATTGATAAATGTTAGGGAAATTATCTAACAATACCGTACACCATTTTGTCCTTTTTAATGCGTTCTATATGATAATCGGTTAAAAGGTAGGTACGTATTTTATAGAGTTTGTTTATTTTGTGTTCATTATGATTACGATTAAGAATAAATTCACTACTCACCTTGCCATTTAAATTTAACGCCATTTTGACTTTTATGTTGTCTGTTTAGCTAATTTTCGTTCAAATTTCCAGAACTTTCTGTGTGCATACCTAACTAAAGGTAAGCCCACGTTTTAGATCTTTATTTTC